AACTCTTCTGGGAAGGCTGTCCACAAGGTTTAGGAGTGTGTTTATGGGAATTTTTGACCATTCTTCCAGAAGCGCATTTGTGAGGTCGCACACTGATGTTGGACGAGAAGGCCTGGCTCTCAGTCTCCGCTCTAATTCATCCCAAAGGTGTTCTATCGGGTTGAGGTCAGGACTCTGTGCAGGCCAGTCAAGTTCATCCACACCAGACTCTGTCATCCATGTCTTTATGGACCTTGCTTTGTGCACTGGTGCACAGTCATGTTGGAAGAGGAAGGGGCCAGCTCCAAACTGTTCCCACAAAGTTGGGAGCATGGAATTGTCCAAAATGTCTTGGTATGCTGAAGCATTCAGAGTTCCTTTCACTGGAACTAAGGGGCCAAGCCCAGCTCCTGAAAAACAACCCCACACCATAATCCCCCCTCCACCAAACTTTACACTTGGCACAATGCAGTCAGACAAGTACCGTTCTCCTGGCAACCGCCAAACCCAGACCCGTCCATCAGATTGCCAGATGGAGAAGCGCGATTCGTCACTCCAGAGAACGCGTCTCCACTGCTCTAGAGTCCAGTGGCGGCGTGCTTTACACCACCGCATCCGACGCTTTGCATTGCACTTGGTGATGTATGGCTTGGATGCAGCTGCTCGCCCATGGAAACCCATTCCATGAAGCTCTCTGCGCACTGTTCTTGAGCTACATGAAGTTTGGAGGTCTGTAGTGATTGACTCTGCAGAAAGTTGGCGACCTCTTCGCACTATGCGCGTCAGCATCCGCTGACCCCGCTCCGTCAGTTTACGTGGCCTACCACTTCGTGGCTGAGTTGCTGTCGTTCCCAAACACTTCCATTTTCTTATAATACAGCTGACAGTTGACTGTGGAATATTTAGGAGCGAGGAAATTTCACGACTGGATTTGTTGCACAGGTGGCATCCTATCACAGTTCCACGCTGGAATTCACTGAGCTCCTGAGAGCGACCCATTCTTTCACAAATGTTTGTAAAAACAGTCTGCATGCCTAGGTGCTTGAATTTATACACCTGTGGCCATGGAAGTGATTGGAACACCTGATTCCAATAATTTGGATGGGTGAGCAAATACTTTTGGCAATATAGTGTATTATAGGTTATTTCTCTTTTTTGTTGTTGCAAATAAACAGGATTTAATTATCCATCTGGGCTTCTATGGTGTATTTTATCCTGTTTCCCTTCAAAATAGAAGACTCTCTGAACAGCAAACATATAAGGAGTGTGAAGTAGAATCATGTAAATCCAATAATCCTCCTATTTGCTCCTCCTTGAATATTAAGGGAAATACTGCAGTCAAGCAAATGTAACTTTTCTACATGTAGTAAAAAGAGCTTTACCTCCATGTGTTGGACAATAATGAGAATTGCACTTGGTAGGAATAATTTCATTAATGAGGTGTGAGTCTGTTAATCCCGAATATTACCTGCCTGTTGCATGTCCAAACGAATGTTTTCCCAAGTAGTTTATCTAATTAGGACAGTCCCTCTGTCCGGATAAACAGTTAGCATCCTCATTATATACAAAAGAGAAATTTGAGAATGAAATGGGGGGAGTGGATGATTCCTAACAGTGAGTTCTCTGTGTTTTTTTATCGGGGGGCACTGTGTAATAGTTTGATATGGTTGGAGCTATGGATGTCTCTTAATCTGCAAACCGGTGTGATGTAAATGATGTGATGATGTGGCATACCGGAATTGTATAAAATGCTTCTTTAATTAAGTCCTTTATGTGCTGCCTTTTGTAACTCTAGGCAACTTCTAGACTGAGAGAGATTACAATGTCTATCAAAATCTGTTGTCCTGTCTCATGGTTATTTAATATATATGCACTCAACAAAAATATAAATGCAACACGTTTGATTTTGCTCCCATTTCTTATGGGATGAAAGGTCTCAAACTTTTTCCACATACATGATGTGACAATTTCCCTCAAATTCTGTTCACAAACCAGCAGTGTTGTATAGTAACGAAGTAAAAATACTTCACTACTGTACTTAAGTATATTTTGGAGTACTTTATACTTTCCGAGAGTATACATTTTTTTGAGAACTTTCACTTTTACTTCACTACATTTACGAACTTAAATGCATTCTTTTACTCCGATACATTTTCAATTTTTTGGGGTAGTTACTAAGTAAAAAAAAAAAAAAAAAAAAAAAAAAAAACGAACGAGAGAAACGCAGGTGTTTTGACCCCACCTATTGACTACAAAGTCAGGTCTTGCCTGGGCTTGTACATCAACACCAACAGGATACACCTGTTTCGCAAAGCCAGTCTAAATGTATCCTACACTTGGTTGTTTATATTATTATAAGTGAATTTAACCTTTTGAGTTTACCAAAATGTAAAAAAAATGTCATTCAAACTGCACTTACTTTTTACCTATACGTTTCACTACATTACTTGAGTAGCCTACATCTATTTTTAAAGTAATTCTTATACTTAAGTACAAGCCATTTCCGATAATTTAAGACTTTTACTCAAGTAACATTTCAGTCAGTGACTTGGACTTTTAACAAAGTCATATTTTGGAGAGGTACTTATACTTTTACTTGACTCCGAGATTTCAGTACTTTATACAACACTGCACACCAGTCTAAATCTGTGATAGTGAGCAGTTCTCCTTTGCTGACACAATCCATCTCACCTCACGGGTGTGCCATATCAAGATGCTCTCACCCAGCACAATGCCACAGATGTAGAAAGATTTGAGGGAGTGTGCAATTGGCATGCTGACAACAGGAATGTCCAGTGCTTATGCTTATGTAACACTAAGCAACTTCTCTCAACTGAGTAAGATTAGTTTCTATCAAAATTTGTTGTCCTGTTTCATGCTTATTTATTACATCTATATTATGAAGTGTTATTTAATAAGTTTGTTTCAAGTGATATGTTCTCAGGAAAAGAACCAGAGAGAGTTTCAAGGTGTAAACGCATAGCTTTATTTAACACATTCATTTTAATGTACAAATTTTTTTGTAAAGAAAAACATACACTACTTTAAGAAGCTTTTCATATGCTAGTAGCTTTTTAAATTGGGTTATAAAAAAACAGAAACAAAACCCCCCCCCTGAATGTTAGAACTGTAACTAAAATACAGTCATATGTTTACATTATCACTGCTTCTTACCTTTTATCACTGCTGCACTTTAAAAAATGAAAATGTATAAGAGCTGAACTTAATTTCTTTTTGTATACACTCTGTGTGTACCGGTACAAATAAAAATTAAACTCTAAGTCTTTTCATGTACAATAAAACATAAAACTTTAAAACATTTACTTATGTGAATAATGAAAAAAATACAGTTGAAAAATCTTTTAATATCAAAAATATTTACAATCCTTGAAAAAGCTAATGAGCCTTTTTATGCCTTCAGACTTCTACAGAAATATCCATTATATAGTATAGAGGTATATAGTACTTTAAAGGTAAACATTTCGCTTACAGACAAATAATAGGACCTGCAAACACAAACATATCCCGTAGGCAGGCTAATTCTAGGTTTACCTTTTTTAAACACTTACTGTAGACCTCCTCCTTCCATGGGTCAACAGTAAGGATGCTATTCTGATTACTGTGCTGAATCTGAAAAACCTTAAGCTTTCCAGACATCAGTATATGACAAAAAAAAAAAAACAACAACACATGAGTGATCAAATCTGGGTTACAGCCATTCAAAAAAATAACAAAAAATGTAAGCTATACAAACTTTCATTTGTGACATAATGCATGTGAAGAATTTAAGTACTTTTGTTAAATTTCTACTTGCAGCACTTTCTATCTGCATGTGTTTTATTCATGCGTTAGTATCATTTATCTAATTGCAGCAGGCTCTGTTTTTGCACTGTGTTTATGTAATTGCAGTGTTGGGATCTGGAGGTCTGTCCACCTTCCTCCAGCAGAGGGCATCCCTAGCTGAGCTGATGACCACACCTGCGGCCCATCAGTCATCAGGAGACCAGGATATAAGCAGCGGCAGGACTACACTACAGCACCAGAGTGTTAAGCCAGTTATGGTTAGCGAAGCCTGAGCCAACCAGCCTGTCTGATTCTCTGACTCCCCTGAAACCAGAACCTGAACCTAATCAGTTTTTGTCTTTCCTGCTTCTTAGGAAGAAACCTGACTGAACCCTGGAACTCTGGAAGAGTTTTCTCTGCTGAAATCTGCCTGTCGGCTCTCAGGAGCTCATCTGAAGAATCTAACTGTCTGAACCTGCCTGCCCGCCCTCAAGAAGAGGATCGGAAGAAACTCTGGACCTGAACACTGATAAGTCTGAAGTCGAGCCTTGCCGTTGCTTAGCCCTCTGCCAACTTCTAGCCTCTGGACCCACCTGGTTCCCTCCCTCTGCTGCTAAACCTGAATCACGTCACAGGTACAAACCTGCACAATTCCTCTGACAAAGATCTGCCGCATCCTGGCTACCTAACTGTCCCTCTCTACAGAGAACCCTGTGTGACCAGTCCCGGATCTGTTTCCCAGCATCTTTCAAATAACATTGTGTTTGTTTTAATAAACAGTCAAACTTTTCATCTGCCTCCGTTGTGTTCTGCATGTGGGTTAGAAATCTGAATCCCATCATGACATGCAGCAATTTTGCTACTTTAAATTTTCTGTGATTATAGAATTCTTTTATGAGGCATTTTCCTTTTGCATTTGTTTTTAAGTCAAATTTTTGTTTTCTCAGCACTTTTGGTATTTGCAGCATATTTAGGAAAATGCAAGCATAGGGATAGAAATGAGCATTTTGTGAGATCTGATATATTTACAAAAATATGGTACTTTAATATGCGCTGGTCCATTTGAATAAAATTAATCAAAACCCAACCAACAAAGAGTGAACCTAAATGATTGAATATGTTACGCCCTTTTTCTTCTGCTTGCAGTGTGTAATGAAGAATTAATGTGGACTTCACATGAAAGACTTGAAAAATGAAATCTTTTATCTTTATACATTTGATAAAAAGTTGACATTTAATTTTTTTTTTTCTGAAGCGCATTTTAAAGTTCAGCAGCTTTAGATTACAGCAGATAAACCCATTTTTTTTGCAGGTCTAGCTGGCATCATGTATCGGACTCTTTTCCAGAAGTGCGAGTTCCATTTAAGAGCTTTCCGTGAACTCTCTGGCCACTTGATGGGGGCGCTCTTACGGATAAGATGCTGCAGGCCTGGAGGAAGATGCCTGTATCCTTGCGGCCCAGTCTCCCCAAGTTGAATAAGAATCACACTTATCTCCCTCTGCACCAGTGCATGGTGGAGCCCAACCTGGAAAATAATTTTTAACATTAACTTCACCAGGTTTAAACTTATTTACTCATATATATTTTTGTTGTTGTTGTTTCAAGATCCTCTGGAAGCAAAACGGACCAGTAGTCTCTGAAAGTCAAATAGTTGCTCTGTGTTTTAAACAACTTCTGACAGAACTGTTGCTATTTTATGCTTTATTTTTATTGATACTTTGATTTGGCTCAGAAAAGCAAATGTTTCAACTGGATTTACTGAAAAAAACAACAAACCTAAACAAAATGACCTCTTAAACGCAGAGTACTACCTGCCAGTCGAATCCTCCAATGACCAAGGTTTGGTCTGAGGCTGGATTTTTGATCACCTCAGATCCTGATTTTGGGGTTAAGATGACAATCAACCTCCTGCTTTGTTCAATGTAGCTCTCCACCATCTTCAAACGATCTGTTTGATCAGAAAAATAATTTTAGGTCTTGTGCTGTGGACTAATTGTCTCACATAAGATGTTTTTTCCTGTATGTTAACCATTCAAATTTACATAATTCAATTTAATTCAATTCAGTTTATTTATACAGCGCCAATTCACAACACAAGTCATCTCAAGGCACTTTACAGTTTAACCAGACCATCCAGTCAAATTGATTCAAAGTTTTCTATCTAAGGAAAACCAGTTGGTTGCGTTGACTCATTGACTCAAATGCGAACCCTCACACTAAGCATGCTTGTAGCGACAGTGGAGAGGAAAAAACTCCCTTTTAACAGGAAGAAACCTCCAGCAGAACCAGGCTCAGTGTGAGCGGCCATCTGCCGAGGCCGACTGGGGTTCAAGGAGACAGAAGCAGTGATACAAAAAGCAGCTGTAAAAGGCGGCCCCGTCCAGGAAACACACAGCCAGGCAGACGAACTCTGAGCCAGCTTCCATGTCAGAGGTTTAAGAGAGCACATCCAGCCACTCGCAGAAAAACAGGACTACACTGAAAAACAGGCCTATCTCCAACATCTATAAACAAGGCTGTCGATGGCAGCAGCACAGCTGATATTTCTCTCCAGGATGGCGTCACAGCCAAACAGGAACAGACGAGGCAAAGCTACTATGAGAAAAAGCAGAGAGAGCATAACGTTAGAGATTGAACTAACACATTCTGCGGAGTGGGAGAATAGACAAAGAATGATGAAATGAAGGTCCCTATTTCCTCCAGCAGTCTAAACCTATAGCAGCATAAATATAGACATAGCTCAGGATTACCTGAGCCACTCTAACTATAAGCTTTATCAAAATGGAAAGTCTTGACTTAAAAGTAGAAGGGGGGTCTGCCTCACGGACTGAAACTGGTAGTTGGTCCCAAAGGAGAGGAGCCTGATAATTAAAAGATCTGCCTCTCATTCTATTTTTTATAAATTCTAGGAACCACTAGTAAACCTGCAGATTGAGAGCGAAGTGCTCTGTTAGGAATGTAAGGAACAACCAGATATCTGATATAAGATGAAGCTTGGCCATTTAAGGCTTTATATGTGAGAAGGAGGATTTTAAATTCTATTCTGGATTTAACAGGAAGCCAATGAAGAGAAGCCAGGATAGGAGAGATATTATCTCTCTTTTTAATTTTCATCAGAACTCTGGCTGCAGCATTTTGGATCAGCTGAAGGCTTTTAACTACAGTTTGTGGACTTCCTGATAGTAAAGAATTACAATAGTCCAGCCTTGAAGTAACAAATGCATGGACTAGTTTCTCAGCATCACCCCTGGACAGGAGATTTCTAATTTTTGCAATGTTCCTCAGATGAAAGAAGGAAATTCTAGAAACCTCTTTGATATGGGATTTAAATGACAGGTCCTGATCAAAAATAACACCAAGATTTTTTACTTTATTATCTGAAATCAGTTTAATCCCATCCAAATGAAGTGACTGGCTAATCAGTTTCTTTTTCAGAGACTCTGGTCCAAAGACTATTACTTCTGTTTTGTCTGCATTCAGAAGCAGAAAGTTAAGAGTCATCCAGGTTTTTATGTCTTCAAGACATGCCTGCAATTTATGTAATGGGTTAGCTTCATCTGGATTTATAAACAGATATAGCTGGGTATCATCAGCATAACAGTGAAAATTAATCCCATGCTGTCTAATAACTCTACCGATTGGGAGCATGTATAAAGTAAAGAGAATTGGTCCTAGCACTGATCCCTGTGGTACTCCAAAGGTAACCTTTGAGCATGTGGAAGATCTGTCATTAACGTGAACAAACTGAAATCGATCAGATAGATAAGATTTAAACCAGTCTAGTGCTGTTCCTTTAATTCCTACAAAATATTCAAGTCTTTCTAAAAGAATATTATGATCAACTGTATCAAATGCAGCACTGAGATCCAACAGGACGAGCACAGATACAAGTCCATTATCTGAGGCCATGAGAATATCATTAGTGACTTTCACCAGAGCTGTTTCAGTGCTATGATGAGCTCTAAAGCCAGACTAAAGCTCTTCAAAAAGTTCATTATGGTGTAAGTGATTGCACACTTGTTTGGCAACTACTTTCTCAAGAATTTTATATAAGAAAGGAAGATTGGATATAGGTCTATAATTGACCAAGTCATCTGGGTCAAGAGACATTTTTTTAAGCAAAGGTTTAATTACAGTAACCTAAAAAGCCTTTGGTACATATCCCTGTAACAGAGATAGATCAATCACATCTAAAATGGAGGAGGAGATCAAAGGGAATACCTCCTTAAATAACCTGGTTTGAACTGGATCTAACATACAAGTTGAAGGCTTAGATGAAAACAATAATTTTGCTAATTCTGAAAGTTCAACTGGATCAAAACAGTCTAAACCCGGTTCAGATTCTATGGCTACCTCAGATGCTGCTTCACCTTCCAGAGACAAACCAATCGCGGATAGAGGAGTGCTAATGACCTTATTTTTAATAAGATCAATCTTATTTATAAAGAATCCCATAAAATCATTACTCTTTTTTCATACCTCTTTTTTTAATTTTACAGATTCAAAGAAATGTTCCCGGCCACTGTGTCACCCTTAATCAAGGATTTACTGATGTAACGATTTGTTGGGTTTGACCTTCATGATGAAAGTCATAACGGCCGAAACATAACAACAGCCAATTCAGCATTTTGATACTTTTTAGTATATCTGGGGAGGGAACTGTCTAAGAAATAACTTTGTGCATGCTTAATGGTTGATCTTGAGAGCGTTTTATGACATGCTCACTGAATGCCATTGTACGTATTCTTACTGCGAATCAACACTTCTTAATGTTTACGTATCCAGTTAGTTTTGGTTTCAAATATTCATTATAATCAATTGTTTTCACCTTATTCTTTGAAAAGAGTCACATGCAGCAAACAGTTAATAAGTTTGCAAGAGGAAGGGGGAGGCCTCTTGACGTAAGAGTGTATTTGGGAGATTCTTTCATGAGATTAGAATAAAAAAGTAGGTAAAATGCTCTTGTGCATATGCAGCTATTCAGAAAGTGACTTGTTTTTTATCTTCTTTTAAGGAAAAAACATCCACTATACCTTTAATCAATTATGGTTCTTGATAATATTAACAGATACACACATGGAAATGGTTTAGTTATATAGATATAATTATGACATAGATCAGAGGTCTTCAACAGGGGGTCCGTGACCCCTAAGGGGTCCACAGAGGTACCGCATGGGGGTCACGAAAGTTTTGGTTGATTAAACTATTTATTATATTCCCCCCTTCAATTTTTTCCACTAATTGAAATGCCTTTAAATCCACATTAACATGAATTTAACACACTGTAGTAAACAGATAAATGGAGGCAGAAGATGTCTTTCAGTCATCAATGCCAGGGGCGGTTCTAGACCAAAAGTAGCAGGGGGCCAGCGTGTTTTCATGGAGTAACAGAAAAGCATGAACTAAATAAAAAGCAAGGTATATATTAAAAGAGCTGCATAAAGTAACATTTATATTCAATTAGGTTTAATTGAAATTCTATGTGTTAATATACATTCAGAATTTAGGAATTTTACATATTTTTGACTTAATTTAAGTTCGAATTACCTTTTTCTATAAAATCTGAATTAGAACTCAAGAAAAATGGATAAATTCAGCCGTAAAAATTAGAGCAATTTGTTTTGAAAAAAAAAAAAAAAAAAAAAACATCTACCAGATGAAAACTGGGATCCTATCTCAACTGAAGCTATCACCTTATTGTTTTATAAATAATTAGTAAAACATCATTTGTAAAGTACTACGTCTTCAGTACAGGGACCAGGACATGATCTACAGGGACACTGGCCCCCGTTGGCCCTTGTCTAGAACCACCCATGATCAATGGACACACAGCTGGGCACCGTTTCATTCACAACACCTGTCCCATCAACCAGGAATCAGAAATACTTTAATAATCCCAGGGAGGGATTACTTTAGTTACATTACTCCATCTGTAATAGAGTGACTATAGGACCACATTATATATAATTAGGGGGTCCCTGCTCCGTCTCGTCATCAGTTTGGGGGTCCTTGGCCAGGAAATCGTTGAAGACCCCTGACATAGATAACTTGGAGTGACATATACCTTTACCTTTTACTCATAAAAAACTGACCACCTCTAACCGAGCCAAGTTTTATACCTATTTAATTGTTCATAAACCACTGCTGTCAAGATTCTTGAAGTTATTTCCTCCTTAAATCTTGTGTGTTTTACTTAAAGGGAAAAAGTAAATGGACAAAAAACAGTTGCTTGTAACTGTGAGTTGCTTTTTTAATCAATTACTGCATAGATAGAGTGAAATGTGTCTCCACTTTTTCCTATGGATCACTGTGTCTAAATGTTAGTGCTTATAACACAGCTTTTAAATTAAAGCTTTGATAATACAGTGTTTATTGTGATCTGGTTAATTGTTGATTTGATTTCAAAATTAGATTTATTACATTTACTAGTACTCAAACAGACCTGACACCACAAAAGGTTTGAACCGCTACATTTGCTTTTAATTTTATTTAATGATTTATAATTGATAATCTAAATTTTTTAAATATAAATATACCTTCTCCAGGTATGTCGTCTCTCCCCTGGATGAAGAGTCTATATCCACACTTGTCTTCAAGGACTGAGGGCAGAATCTTTGTAACAAAACTGGACAGTTTTTCCTCTGCCTCCTCATCTAAGCTCTGTGTCTGGTAAACCACGAAAGCATCGTACATCCTGGTATCTGGGACACACAAACACAAACACCTTTAAGATGTTCCCATACAGCAAGGAGTAACTTAAAGGTAATATCAGATGTAAGGAATCTATTTTACCTTTGCATGATAGGACTGTAGCTGACAAATAGCTTAACTACAGCTGTGAAAAATATAAAGTGAATATTTTCCCCTTAATTGATCAAAAGATGGGCTCTTCAAAGTTTGTATTGGTGTTTTTGAGAAAAAACGTATAATTTTAGACTAATATTAGAGAAGAACTGAAATATTTCTAATATAATCCTGCAACCTAAATGCTGGTAACTCATCACTTTGTAAGTCTTGATTTGTGAGGCTTGTAAACATCTTTTACCATTTTTCAATAATACTTACCATCCATCCTAGACAAAAAACAAACAAAAAAAACAACCCAGCATTTGGACTAAACAGCAAAACACTTTAGTCTTCAGCTGGAAAAGTACAGTAGTAGGTAATATGTTTCAGCCGGAGACAAGCTAGTGAGTAAATGCTGTGGCATGTAACTCTTAAGTAGGCCTTTTGGAAAACAACATCATTGAAACAATGGAGCGGAGCAGGCGTCTTGCTCTTATAGACTTCCTTTGTTTTATTTGGTTTCCTATCAGATACTTATCTGTTGTCTTTAGGACTATGCATTCTGCGTCATCCAGTGACTGTTCAAGACCTGTTTCAGGACCATTATGTGGATGTGTTCCTGTTCTGGGTGATTCCAGACTGCTAACTAGTGGGTCTTTTTTAACTCCTGGATGTTTAACACTCTGAAGCTGGTACTCTAACTCTGACACCCTCACCCCCAAAGCTATAAAAATACTACACAGCAATCATCACAGTCATTGCTGATGTCAGTAAAGAAAATGTGAGAAGTGAGAAGAGCTGCTAATAACCGTCATATGTATGTAAAGTCTTTGTTCCCACACATGAGCAGATCATGGGCACATTTAGCCTTAACTTTGACAATGGCTTTTATTTAGGAACCCCGTATCTGAATCAGTGGCTCTGCACCATCATCTCTCCTCTTAATCAGTGTTGAAGTCACCCATAACATCCGCTCAGATTACAGCTCCTCAGCCAGGCAACATCACGCGTACCCGTCTCAGCTCCCCTCAGCAAATCACTATCATATAAAAGCATCTTAGCTTCCTGTTCACCCCTGCAGTAAAAACCTCTCCTCAATGCATAGAGTGTGCCTATGAAAAGCCACTTTGATTGATCAAGTTGTAGTAACCTGCTGTGTTAAAATGCAAGAAATGTAACGGCATGAACAATACATGAAAAATAATCAGTTGGGTTATTTTTTCAATAAAAGCTAAAACATAAACCTTGAATAACAATACAATATTATAACAATGTTTCAATATCATAACATATTGCAATATTCTACCCCTGCTAATATGAAAATTCATCAGAAGATATTGATCTTGATGTAAAAGTAGAATGGGAGGCAAATATTTTAGTTATCAGGCTCGCTCCTGTGAAACTAACTACCAAGTCTGGTAGACTGTCAGACTGACAGAAATGAGGCTGCCATACAATCTGTGCCAAAAGGCCCTGAATGATATTTAAGATTGGTCAGCTACATGTAACAAAATACTGCTGTGTGATTTCATTTCAGCTAATTTATTAAGAGCATTGCCTTTTATTTGATGGTAAACCAAACATGAATACCTTAATTTCCTCTTAGTTGACATAATTAACATGTTGTACCATTATTACCTCTACTTGGTGATAAGTAGGGCCTGAACAACAGAGCCAGATCAATGGCAAAATATTTCACCACTGCAGCAGCAGACACACCAATCAAAAACACACATATTCCTGTTATGATGAGGGGGATGCATGACTCTGAAAGAGAGAAAAAAAAGGTTTGAACAATAATCATAACAAATTCTACAAAAACACTCTTAGAATTGCGATTAGTTGTATACTTTAGCAAATGATTTCCAATGCTGAGTCATCAGAATACCTCCTACAGCAATATTAACATAGTGGAACGATCAATATCTCCAGTGAGATGAGTCAGATAACATGCAAGAAAAGTTGAAAAGTTGGAGAAAACCAAGAGGAAGGCATTACCACACTAACCTCTCTGCTTGAGGGTTACAGTTGTATTATTTGCGGAATAAAATCCAGAGCCTTTACACATAAACTTGTGCTTAAAATCTTCTGCTGAAACCTGTTTGATGGTCAGGATTGCAGTGTAGAAGGTGTTGTTCGAAGGATACTTGATTTCTCTAAAAAACAAAGTAATCTTTGCTTCATTTAAAAGTTAAGAAAACATCAATGGTAAGTAAACAAAGAAAACAGTTCCATCTTAACTCCTTAATTTAACATGCAACATGATACAGAGACTAGAGTGCCTTGTTATAGAATCAACTTAAATGCCCATTTTGGCATTAATAGAAATCTTTATTCTAGTTTTATATCACATTTTCATATTAAATTCTAATAATGTCCTGGTTACCTTCACAAAAAAGGTTATTTTATGATGTTTTGTTCACCAAAGAAGTTACAGTTTCCATGTTGTGAAAACTTACAATTTGGTGGCTTCATTGTATCCATCCATCTGGTTTACTTGTTCATTATTAATGTACCAGCTGGCTTTGCATTCCCGTTGTGCATTAATCCCGCAATAAACTGTACAGTTCAGCTTAATGCTAATGCCTGTTTAACACATAAAGGTTAACTATATGACAATGCATCTTTCATTCAAAGCGTAAGATTTATTACAATATTTTATTTGTACTGAGCAAAAATATATATGTATTCATGCATGAGTGAAGGAATAAAATATTGAACACAAATGCTTGAATAGTTTTCGTAAAAAGAGACGGATGAGGACAGAGAAAGGCATCTACAACCACTGCCCTGTTTGTGCTATATTCTGAGAGGTGTTCGGGTTATGAAGGTTTTATTTAGTAACCTATCCTGAAAAAAAAAACATAAAAAACTCCCTGTGTAACCACAGTGAGATACTGGCATATAAATTCAGACAATCGCATAGAACATGGCTGCGCTTCTTTAAGTTAGGACTAGGGCTTGACTTTAAGGTTGTACTCTACAGCTTTACTAATGGTATAAGCTGTTATCTTACCTTTATTAGCCAACTGTTCCTTGCTGGTTGGAGAGATGATTTCTACATCACGATAGACAGGTCGATCTAAAAGAAAGCAAAGGTACAGGGTGTTCATTGTGTTGTCCTTATGCACTGGGTGCTGTTGCATTAGGAAAGTACAGCTACATACAGAAATTAACAAAAGTGAGAGAGAAATAGTTACAACTATTTTAAGTTTAAGCCCCCCAAACACCAGGCATCACTTAGTCTTAATTTAGCCCAGAAATAGTTTTCGAAAATTTGGCTTTGTTTGGTCGCTCTGATTTTGTCCCACTTAGTCACATAATAGACGTTATGGCTTTTTACTTTTTTACTTTTCAACAGATTGTAAGTGTAGTTTCAACGTAAATCTGTGTCCAGACATAATAATTATAAACTCCAAAAACAACTGGGCATTGGTAAAAACAGGATGTCAAATAAAATTTTTTCTATATAAGCCATACAGGAATGGTGGTGTGCTCTTTTTATTTTTTCAGTGTGTGGTACTTGTCACCGCTATGTATGATTTTAAGAAAGAAAACATGAGACGAAAGGAGGAAAGATATACAGCAAAAGTCAAAACTATCTGGAGGCTTGCTTGATACACTGACTGTCTCCAAATATGAGAGATCCACTCTACCACCACGCCATGAACTACCCTTTAAACTGACACCTTTAAAATTAGTGTTTATGATATAGCAACAAAAAAGACTGGTGTGATCTAAACAAAGAAAATGTCTATTTTATTGACAAAATTCTGAATTAGAATGATGAAGGTAACCATATTGTGTAGCAAACTTTAGCACACTAACGGCCAAAACACACTGGATCCGTTATTTTCTCTGGTGTTTAAAAAAATCGTGTCAGGTCAATTTAAATACGTTACAGTGAAAATGACTGCTCACTCTGTAGCAGCAATGTTATATTTTGTGAGACTAAAAGAAAGAGAGACATAGTGGCAATGTAAAACTCATCTACTTTGGGGAATGAAGAAAGTGAAAATCTTTGAACTGCAAGCTAAACTGACCAGATTTGTTTGCCTGGAAACACATGCACTATGTTTTGTTTTATTATTATTTCTTTTTATTGAGCATCAGTGGATCTTTTGATGTCCAAGGCTATAAAATTTCTCAACGTGCAACCAGCGTTGTGAAAGCAATTATGTGTCTATGGCTTTCTCTTATTGTGTTTCGACACCTGTCACAGTTTGCATCTTTGTTAGGATATATTTTAGCCAGTCTTGCTTTGGAATAGTGGATGGGATGTCGGACCTTAAATTGTATAATTAGTAGCTTGGCACAGGAAGTGCTGTTGTTCACTCTTAGTAAAGCATTCTCCACGTGTCCTTTTCCAAGTCCTCCCCAAGCTCATTCACCCAGTCTGCTCTGATCTTTGCCAGTGTTGTGTTTTTAAAAGAGGATATACAATCATGGATTCTGGAGACCAGTCTTTTAGAATTAAATGGAGATTTTAACAAATCATCTAGACCAGAAGATGATGATATGTATCGAAAGCTGGGATCATGGTGTTGAAGGAAGTAGCGAACTTGGAAATATCTAAATATGCTACACCAAGGGAGGCCAAGTTTGTGTGATACATCTTCAAAACTTGCAAAGGTACAATTTATGTACAAGTACTCAAAATTATGAATGCCACGTCTCTGCCAGAAATTAAGTTCAGAATCTACCTTAGTAGGGAGGAAAAGGTGATTATTGTATATGGGATCCAGATGAACAAGGTTTTTAAATTCAAAGCTCCGTCTAGGTTGAGCCCATATTTTGAGAGTGTTTATGACTATAGGATTGTTAGTGTATTGTGAGAAAGAGACGGGAAGGCTGGAAGTGACCAGGGCTCTGAGACAAGTGGAGATGCAAGACACAGCTTCAATGTGGCACTAGTCTGCATTAGGAGTGTGGCGCCAGTACATAATTCTTTGAACATTTGAGGCCACCTACCATAGTTTATAGGCCTCTGTAATAGTTCTAACCTTATTCTAGCCCTCTTCTTGAATGAGATTAGAGCCTTATCAATAGACTTTAAAAAGGACTTAGGGTGATACAGTGGGATACAATGAAACAGGTAAAGAAACCTGGGAAGTACTTTCATTTGGATACAGTTCAACTTCCCTGCCAAGGACAGGTGAAGTAGTTTCCATTTCTTCAGATCTAATCTAACTTTCTCGAATGACTGATAGAGGATTTCCTGGTAAAGATTCTGCATATCCCTTGTAATACTGATGCCCAGCTATTTAAAGCCATGTTTAGACAAATGGAAAGGCAGAGCACCATCCGGTATTTGAAGAGACAGGATAACATTAACTTTAACTGAAGTTTAGTTTGTACCCATAGAGAGCTCCAAACCTCCTCAGGGTATGATAATATAAGGACAACATAAAACAGGGTCAGAAACACACATTAGCAAATCATCACCATAAAGAGATGCCTTATACTCTCTTCCCCTTCCAGTGATCCAAGTAATTGATGGTGATGTTTTGAGAATAATACACAGGAGTTCTATGGTCAAGGCAAACAACAATGGGCTGATTGGACAGCCCTGATGGGTGCCCCTTGACAGATGGAAGTAACGTGAGCATTTACCATTCATTATTACACAGACTTTGGGAGAGGTATAAAAAAGTTTAATCCACGAGAAAAAATTGGGGCCATATCCGAATTTCTTTAAACATGCAAATAAATATCCCCATTCTAACCGATGAAACGTTTTCTCTGTGTCCAGCGCTATAACCACTTCAGGTACTGCGCTGGACCTAGGAAAGTGGATAACATTTAGGAGCTGTGAATAAATGTTGGCCTGAAATAACACCACTTCAGTCAGCAGATATTACATTGTGCTTTGTGGTTTCAAGGTGTAGGGCGATAACCTGACAACAGCCAGATGCATGTCTCGCTCCGCCTAGCTCCACTCACATACATCTGGGAACCCGCTCATCGAAAGTAATTTCCCCAACCAAATTTATGGTCTGTCCAATCAGGACGCAGGGCTGGTGTGTCCTGGAGTGGAGAAGCGACCGTGAGATTCCAACAACAATGGCGGCTCGCATTGAGGAAGCAAGCGTTAGCATTGATCCTGCTATTTCTTCTGTGTTGTCCAATCTATCTGATATTGTTTCATGAAAAGAACATCAGAGAACGGCTTTGAAGGCTTTTGTTGGTGGAAACGATGTTTTCGCCCTTCTCCCAACCGGATTTGGCAAGAGCTTGATCTACCAATTGGCTCCTCCTCTCACAGCGTCATGGGTTAGCTTCGGTGTGAGTGGTTGAAATAGCACGTCAATAAAGATGACAGACAAGTGGCTTATCCAATCATATGCAAGGAGTTTTGATAAGGCCCAGCCTTCAGTAAAGGCAATTCCTATGGCGGGTTCCCAGGTATGTGAGCGGAGCTAGGCGGAGCGAGACATGCATCTGGCTGTTGTCAGGTTAGTAGGGCGAGGGCTTTGGCCAAAATCTTCAAATCACAGTTTAGGATGGAAATGGGTCGGTATGAGCCACATTCTTTGCTATCTTTACCTGGTTTAAGTAGAAGGGTAATTGATGTTTCTGGTAGTGACCCATGGGACAGAGAATCGTTGAACATATCAAGTAAAATTGATGATAAATTATTACAGAACTTTTTCAAGAACTCTACGGGATATCCATCTGGGCCTGGTGCCTTGCCGCTCTGCATTGCTTTTATTGCAGTAATGATTTCCTTACAGTTTAGAGGAAGCTCAGATTTAGTCCTGTGAACTGCTGCTACAGAAGGAGCCTGGAGGTTATTGAAGAAATGTTCCATGTCAGAGCAATCATTTCTTATCTCTGAAGTATACACATTTGAGTAAAATGAGATAAATGTGTCCTTAATTTTTTCTGGGTCAAGAGATAGAATGCCATCTTCTTTGCGAATTTGCGGGATTTGTTGAGAGGCTGAGCGGCACTTAAGCTGATGTGCTAATAAACGTCCAGCCTTGTCACCGTGCTCGTAAACATATCCCCGTGATTTTAATAAGAGACATTCGGGTTTTTTTCGGTCAACAGTAAATTATATTGTGTTTGGAGGTCCAGCTTTTTCTTGTAGAGCTCGGGGGAAGGTAAAGAAAGAGTATTGAGCATCCACCATAAATACTGATTTTATAAGCTCCTCTTGCTTAATTCTTTTCATTCTGTTTATTTTAGCTGAGTATGCTATGATCTCACCCCTGATCACTGCTTGTAATGTTTCCCACAGGAGAGATATCATCTTTTTTGTTGAAATTTATAAAGTCATCTATTTTTTGGGATATCATTTAACAAAAGCTCTCATCGGCCAAAAGGTTTCTGTCTAGTTTCCATAGGGATTGTTGTAATTGATAGAGAGGGAATACAAGATCAGGCAATACAGGGGCATGATCTGATTCTACTATTGATACATATTATACTTTTGTGACAGAGGGGAGAAGGTTGTGGTCAATGAAAAAAAAGTCTATTCAGCTATATGAGTGATGTACATTAGAATAAAAAGAGAAGGACTTAATTTGTGGAAATAGAAAATGCCAGAGGTCAATACCTCCTATCTGGTGCATAAAAACTGATAATAGTTTGGCCTTTTTAGAAAGATTTGAAGATTTAGACCCGGAGTGGTCAAGTGTTGGATTCATCACACAGTTTAAGTCTCCGACAAAAATCTAATGTTTTGAATTCAAATCAGGGATTAGTGACATGATTTTACTCATTCATTTCTCATCATTCTAATTCGGGGCATATATATTTACTAGAACAACAGGCCTTTGAGAGAGGAGCCCTGAAACCATCACAAATCATCCGTGCGGATCAGAAAGAGCAGCAGATTGGAACAGAATATATTACCCACCCATCTCTTTTTAAGACCGACTTGATCTTTTAACAATAGGTGGGTTTCCTGTAGAAATGCAATATCACATTTCAAGTGCTTTAGATGATTGAATATCCTGGCTCCTTTAACGGGCCCATTCAAACCCCTCACATTCCAAATAAAGAATCGTATTGAATCCACTTCTGCATCAATACCATTCACCATGTTTAACTAGAGTAAATAATATGAGATAAGAAAAAAAATAAAAGTGAAACTGATGTATTACAGTGTACAGTTAGGTTTGTTTTATCTCTCAAGCGTGTAGAGACGAGTATATGTTGCAAAATCACATTGGTGTCCTATTTCCCCAACCCTTCCCACAAACCAAAAAAAAAAAAACTAGATCTAAGCTTATACTTGTCGCTCTCTCTGAGGTCAAGCTGCAGTCTAAACACTATTTCAAAAAAGCTTCCAGAAGCACATTTTTTTGCTACAACAAGCAGTATTGAAATCTCTTAATCCCAAAATGAAAACAAAAAAAACTTATGGTTGGACATCAGGATAACTAGCAAGCATATAAGAACATATACAGGTGCTGGTCATAAAATTAGAATATCATGAAAAAGTAGATTGATTTCAGTAATTCCATTTAAAAAGTGAAACTTGTATATTATATTCATACATTACATACAAACTCATATATTTCAGATGTTTATTTTGTTTAATTTTGATGATTACAAATGACAACAAATGAAAATCTCAAATTCATCATATCAGAAAATTAGAATATTACTGAAGACCAATAAAAACAAAGGATTTATAGAAATGTTGGCCAACTGAAAAGTATGAACATGAAAAGTATGAGCATGTACAGCACTCAGTATTTAGTTGGGCCTCCTTTGGCCTGTATTACTGCAGCAATGCGGCGTGGCATGGAGTCGATCAGTCTGTGGCACTGCTCAGGTGTTATGATAGCCCAGGTTGCTCTAATAGTGACTTTTAGCTCTTCTGAATTGTTGGATCTGGTGTATTGCATCTTCTTCTTCACAATACCCCATAGATTTTCTATGGGGTTAAGGTCAGGAGAGTTTGCTGGCCAATTAAGAACAGGGATACCATGGTCCTTCAACCAGGTACTGGTAGCTTTGGCACTGTGTGCAGGTGCCAAGTCCTGTTGGAAAATGAAATCTGCATCTCCAAAAAGTTGGTCAGCTGCAGGAAGCATGAAGTGCTCTAAAACTTCCTGGTATGTGGCTGCGTTGACCCTGGACCTCAGAAAACACAATGGACCAACACCAGCAGATGACATGGCACCCCAAACCATCACTGACTGTGGAAACTTTACACTGGACTTCAAGCAACGTGGATGAAGTGCCTCTCTTCTTTTCCTCCAGACTCTGGGACCTTGATTTCCAAAGGAAATGCAAAATTTACTTTCATCAGAGAACATGACTTTGGACCACTCACCAGCAGTCCAGTCCTGTTTCTCTTTAGCCCAGGCAAGACGCTTCTGACGCTGTCTGTGGTTCAAGAGTGGCTTGACACAAGGAATGCGACAGCAGAAACCCATGTCTTTCATACGTCTGTGTGTGGTGGTTCTTGAAGCACTCACTCCAGCTGCAGTCCACTCTTTGTGAATCTCCCCCACATTTTTGAATGGGTTTTGTTTCACAATCCTCTCCAGGGTGCGGTTATCTCTCTTGCTTGTACACTTTTTTCGACCACATCTTTTCCTTCCCTTCGCCTCTCTATTAATGTGCTTGGACACTGAGCTCTGTGAACAGCCAGCCTCTTTAGCGATGACCTTTTGTGTCTTGCCCTCCTTGTGCAAGGTGTCGATGGTCGTCTTTTGGACAACTGTCAAGTCAGCAGTCTTCCCCATGATTGTGTAGCCTATAGAACTAGACTGAAAGACCATTTAAAGGCTTTTGCAGGTGGTTTGAGTTAATTAGCTGATTAGAGTGTGGCACCAGGGGCCATCAATTTTGAACCTTTTCACAATATTCTAATTTTCTGATATGATGAATTTGAGATTTTCATTTGTTGTCATTTGTAATCATCAAAATTAAACAAAATAAACATCTGAAATATATGAGTTTGTATGTAATGTATGAATATAATATACAAGTTTCACTTTTTAAATGGAATTACTGAAATCAATCTACTTTTTCATGATATTCTAATTTTATGACCAGCACCTGTATAAACTTAATAATGAAATGAAACAAAAGGGTTTTTAATAGAGGACGAATTTTAGATATAATTCAGCATAGTTCTAATTAGTCCGACAATAAAGTCACTGAGTGATCATACCTTGGTGCTGGAGGTTGACATTGCATGTCAGAAAGGTGAACTTATACATCATTGAGATCAGTTGGTCAACTATTGCCGAAATGAACAGTCCAAACTAGAGATGTCCCGATCCAGGTTTTTGCACTTCCGATCCGATACCGATATTGTTTTTGGACTTCCGATCCGATACCGATACTGGCCGATACCAGCCTATCCGAGCATGTATTTAAGTTTAAGTTAAAGTATTTAGCCTTAGTTGTAAGACTCATGTTGAAAAGGGTTTTAGTACTCTTGATAACATCTAGCCAGCTGAATTAGGTGAGATTGAATAAAACACAATGATTGGTAACAACAAACTTACCTGTTTATTAAGAGATAAACACAAACTGGACAAAATTATGAATAGCAATCTAATATTGCACAGTGAACAGTAAAACCGTAAACAGTTAAAGGTGCTATATTACTGTAAGTTTTAATAAAAATGCAAAACAGACAAGAGTGGAAAATAGTCTATTAACTTAGAATCAGGACTCTACTCCTGAAAAAAGACACCGCTTAAAAAAAATCAGTGCAAATAATAGTTACACAAAAATGCCTTATACTCCCCAATGTCCTCCAGACCTAGTCTCCATCTACACATCGTGCAGGATAAAATAATCCCACATGGCTGACATTTTCCCCGCTATCTTCCAATGCACCTGTTTTAATGGTTAGGCCGGGAGACAGACCCAAAAAGACCTGGGGGTGTTTTGACGGTGTTCTGGAAAATACGGACCGGATTCGGGGAACACTGGCGCAAAATAGTGGAATGGATTGTTTCAATCGGCGAAACTGGAAAATACGGACCGGAATTTTTTTTAAAAACTGGATCGGCAGTCTGGATCGGCATTTTTACATGCTTTGCCGATAAGCATTTTTTTACCAATATCGGCGTCCGATCCGATACGTGGATCGGATCGGGACAAGCCTAGTCCAAACCGTGACACACAGTCCAATTCTGAGTTACAGAATCTGCAATCATAAAACTTCTGAGCTTCATCAGGCAAGCCAAAGGTGAACACGTCTCCGCACATCAATCGCAGTTGTTCTTCTGATACAGGGCTTGCATGACACCGTGAATCACAGCTCTCTTTTTAGCGAGCGTTGCGTTGACATCCTAATAGACCCTTAAAGCAGCGCACCGGTATTTGAGCTCATGATTCCTGGCCCTACGCAGCGCTGCTTCGTTCTGTCGGAATCTGGAGACGCAGAGCAGAAACGTGTGGCGGGATATAATATCAGTGAGTGGTTCTTGAGGTTCAATAAAAACTGGTTCTGGCTATGGAGCGTTTTGATGGTAGACTCGGCTGCTGTTAGCTGCTTGAAGTTATCACCTGCCACTGACTCAACGGCGCTGAGACAGCTCTGGAATGAGGTCACTGTTGTTTGTAGTGAGTCCGGTGAAGGTTGTATTGGTCTAATGGCGTCTTGAGAAATGGTGGAAACATCCTTCTTGAATTATGTTCGCTATTTAGTGAATTCAGCCACCAGTTGGTCCATGGCACAGGATCCCCCACTGGGAAGGTTGCTAGCTGCAAAGGATGCTAGCTTGCCCACTGCACATGTTACTGGAGTTTGTACGTTAACTGACTTTGCGTGTTTCAACAAGTTCATTACGGAGACAAATTTCACACCAACTTTAATAGCTAAAATCGTGTCAAAGTTTGTGCAGAAAATGTCGTTCCAAAGGGAGGGTAACAGGGAATGAGCCTTCGTGTGTCCACTCCCTACATGTCCACCCGGAAATCCACTCATACACTATGTTAATCTTTGTCTGATAAGTTTCATTAAGTGTAACAGAGTAACATAAAAAGGGAAGACGCTTCTATCTATGTCGAAATAAAAAATAATCATTAAGTATATGCACATTATTGTTTCTAAAGATGCTCACCTAGAACAATAAGCTTCCTGGAACCTGAGTTTTTGTACATCTTTTGATTGTGTATCCAGGTACATACGCAGGTGTAGATATCCTCATCTTTTTTTCCTGCATTTTCGATCCACAATTTGTTTTCATGATGACCAGGTAGCAGATTGTTGCCCTGCATCACAAAAGAGATGGATGTCAGAAAGTTTGGTGAATTATTCAAATAGAATAAACTTCTATTTACATTTTACAAACTGTCTGCTCTTTATGGAGCTAGATCGGTCTCAATTTTCACAAATACAAATATGTGATTCATACACGCATAGGAGAAGATCAGATCCAGACATACATGGAACGTTTCACACAAGCACAAGGAAATCTACACACACAATACAAGATCCACACACGCACAACACGATTCTTGCAAGCACACAAGATCCACACATGAAAAGAACAAAATTCACCAAAGTAGTTCTGGTCCATAAACAATTATAAATTAAATTACAAAATAACAGTGGTCTTTAAACTGCATTTGTGTGTGGATTGTTGAGACTGTCCCCATGTGCGGATACACATTTTTCTTTTTTTTGCTGATTTCTTTGTTTGTTTACATCTATATTATTTTATATTGTATTTCTTACAGTGACTGAACTGTTTCTGGAGCAAAAATTTATATTTTCATTGTTAAAACAGATGTACAATGCCATTCAGATTGTAATTATAATTACTATTCCTTTGACGACAGTGTACAATATAACAAGAACTACACAGCATTTCATATATTTTAATAAACCCCGTCCAATCCCTACTACCCTTGTTCCTGCAAAGAAAATAAAGAAAAAAAAATCCTTTTAGAAAATATTTAACTTTTTCAATTTGTAGGAACATCATCATATCGGAAAGCGCCATTGAGGCCTTAGGTGGTAGCTGGGATTTCCATTCTAACAGTATTCTCCGAGCAATCAGAGTTGCAAAAGCAATAACATTTTCCTTGCAAGGTATTGCAGCAGCACCCCCAAAAATAGCCATTAAAGGACTAGGTTTTAGATGTAGGCCAAACGCAGCATTCAAAATGTAAACATTGATTTCCAAAAGACTCCCAGCTTAGAGCACGGCCAGAACATATGAGCTAGGTCTGCATTGGTGGCTCTACAGCGATCACACGTCCCATCTGTTTCAGGGTATATTTTAGCAAGTCTGACTTTTCTATAGTGAGTGTGGTGCAGAATTTTAAATTGAATCAGATTGAGATGTACACAAGACGTAGTTCCATTCACAAGTTTAGAGCTCTAAATCTGGGCGTACACTGTGCGATTTTTTTTCAATCGTTGCACCCAGCATGCTCATACTGAAGACTAAATCGCAGGGTTTAGTCGTACAGTGTGAGTTCACAGCTCAAGATTTATGTTCGGCCCGACGCTCTGATGCGATCTACCTGCTCACACTGTACGACTAAAAACCACTTCGGACTCAGCTCTGCAGTGAGATGGAGCTGCTCTGAAGCTCTCTATCCTAAAGTCAAACAAATAGAAGATGGATATCAAGGTCACTATAGACATGAATAAAAGACATGGCTGAGCAAACGTGGCTACTGCAGTGGGAGGAAGAATAAAAAGAAGAATCGTTCTTTGCGCATGTGCACTGACCGTTTTGCCCACAACGGTCGGGAGAAAATCAAACATGTTTGAGCTTACGAGTTCTGATCAGGAGGTGGTCGTGAGAGGCTGATCGCTGCTCGTAACCCCCTGTACAATACACGACTTACGATCAGGCTGAAAGTCGGGCCGATCGAAAGATTCTCGCACAACTGGAAAATTGCCCCGAAAATTGCACAGTATACGCCAGGCTTAATTCTTCTGAAATGACTGTCGCTAAATCCTCTTCCCATTTTGTCTTGATGTTGTCTGTTGACACGCAAGTAAATGACATAATTGAGATATATAAATTTGAAATTTTGCCCTTTGAAGTTTTGGGGATCTTTAGTATAACATCCACGTTTGAATCCTCAGGTAGTTGAGGGACCAGTGGGTTATACGTTTGAATAAAGTGGCGGATCTCAAGATATCGGAAAAAAATGGATTTAGGAATAGAGTGTTTGTAAGCCAGATCTGTGAAAGAAGAAAAAGTATTATCTTGTTTCAAGACCGGTCTGCTTGAGTCTGAATCAGGCCATTGGAACGGAAACCTACCGATCATAGAACTCCTTTGCAGCTTTTGTTGAGTGGAAGACGTGCGTCTCATCCTCGAACTGAACCCGAAGACGTGCTGGATATAGCAAACTGAACTTTATGGTCTTCTCATAGAAGAGCTGTTAGCCGTTTATAAATGCTGCGAGTTTCTTCGCCAGGCCCGCAGACAGATCCGGATAGATCCTCAGCTTGGAACCTTTAAAACTCCATTTCGTGCATCCGGGACCACCGCATAGCCTTTTCTTTCTCCTGTAGGCGAAGGAAGCACACCACAAAGAGACGAGGTGGCTGCCCTTCTCTAGGTCTTTGGCCAGGAGAACGATGAGCCCACTCCAACTCCGGGGGATTTTCAAGAATCTCTCTGCCCATTGCGTGCATTAGCAGGTCGGATACAAACATAACAGTTTGCTGGCCCTTCTCGCTGTCCTCTGGGACATTCAGGATCCTCAGGTTTGCTCTATGGGAGTGGTTTTCAAGGTCATCCACACGTTCGAGTAGTGTTTTGCAACTCTAGGTGTTATATTATTTAATCTGACATCTATACTGTGGTGGCTGAAGATAATAATATGTGCTTTCTGTATGGAAGTGAATCTCTAAGTACCTGGAACAAACATGGGCAATGTGGAGTCAACAAGTCATCTCCATGTCATGTATTTGTTCTACCCAGCCACTGAAGCAGGTGAGTCCAATCTTCACCGTGAATTAACCTGTGCAGATTGGACTCACCTGGTTAATTGGCTGGGTAGATTAAATACATGACATGCAGATGACTTGTTGACTCCACATTGCCCATGTCTGACCTGGAACCAAGCACCTATAGTTGTTTGTCTAAAGTTTAGCCAAAGAAAAAATGCTCAATGGTGGTTGTGAAGAGCCAAAGATGCGCCTGAGCACCGAGGTGAGCCAATCCAGGAAAATCCAACCCCCACCAAGGGAGGAGGAGAGATGGCCCAGAGGTAATTCCCCAGCCCCCAGGAGCTGCAGGGAGGAGTCCGTGGGCTCCGCCGTCAGCCAGCCACCCAAAAGTGGATCCGACCATGGGCCCAAGGGACGGGTGGAATACGCTCGGCACTTAGCGGAGACTTGAGATGTTCTTGGGAGAGGGAGCAGTTCGGCTTCTTATTTTGATGGTGAAGGAAGGAGAAGACATATGTGGACGATGACGTTCAGAGGAGTAGCTGTGGATGTGATACACTCTAATTTATTAAAATGAGTGCGCAAATGCTCCACAAAACATACGTGAGCGGGACAGAGCGGGGCAGATATGGAGGATGTGTGATCTGGGGGTCATCCCAGGTGGAGTACTTTCTTGTGATTGGCTTATACAAGGGAGCTTCGTGATTGGTGGCAAACCATCCCTGCTTACAAAAAATGCATTTGTGTATCCAGGCATGTCAGGGCAGTCTCGAAAATTAGCACACAAATGCAGTGAAGTTTAAAGACCACTGGTAATTTGTAATTTAATTTATATTGTTAATGGACCAGAAATACTTTGGTGAATCTTGTTCTGTACATGTGATAATCTTGTGTGCTTGTGTGAATCATGCTGTGCGTGTGTGGATCTTGTACTGTGTGTGTGTGGATTATTTTGTGCTTGTGTGAATACCTTTGTACGTGTGTGGATCTTGTATTGTGTGTGTGTGGATTTTTTTGTGCTTGTGTGAATACCTCTGTGCGTGTGTGGATCTTGTATTGTGTGTGTGTGGATTTTTTTGTGCTTGTGTGAATACCTCTGTGCGTGTGTGGATCTTGTATTGTATATGTGTGGATGATTTTTTTGTGCTTGTGTGAATCGTTCTCTGTATGTGTGGATCTTGTCCTGTGCATGTATGAATCACATATGTGTATTTGTGAAAATTGAGACTGATCCAGCTTCATAGCTCTTATAATATTTACACTAATGATAAAATTAATAAGTACACTTCCCTTGCAAGCAAACCAGAAAAACCTTAAATCACAGTTGTCTGTACCTTTAACCAAGTGAAGTTTCCATTAAACGTCATGCAAATGTAATCAACGGGATCTGGACATTCAATTAACTTGTTCTGGTCAGAGTTTTTAATACTTCCATAGGTGACCTTCTCTCGACTGTTTTTACTGTAGACTTCAATTTTTACATGGTGGTAGACACATTTATCTGAGGGGGTAATTTCTCTGTAGGAAAGATTATAGATATAGATAATCTGATCTCAAATTTAAAATAAGAAAAACATTGTTTTAGCTACGACTAATGAAACAACAAAATAAACATCCCATGATAATTGTAGGTCAAACATCACAATAATTGTACATAATCTGATCTTGGTCTTTTAAAAGACAATTATTTTATAGCTTAGAAATAAATAAATGGCAAAATAACAAAAATTTTTTTTAAAGGTTCTGTGATATACAGTAAGTCCTCTACACAGATCAGTTGTGATGTTTTAAAACAATTAATCTAAACAAAGGTGAAAGAGTGTAGGTTACATAACATAATATCTAGCATTTGTCCCATAACTACTTTTTAAGGTATATTGACATTTTTAAAATCTATGGTTACAAACAAACAGAACTTCTCATCATAGAATATAAATTAAAAAAAAGCACAAATGATGCAAACATCAATCATCTTCTGCTAATTGCCAGCCAGTTGACTGGAAACAGCTTTTGCACTGTCTCCTCACTTGTGAAAAAACAAGCTGCAGGTATTTGAAATGATTTCTTACTTCCTTTGATGTGTAAGCAAGAGGATCCCAAACTATCACTGTTAGGGTTTCTGCTCCCTCTAGGCTGACAGAAGCAAAACTATTAGTCCTATGGTGCCCAAAAGTTTTTTTTACTCCATTTCCTAAAAAGGCATTAGTCTCTGTATAGTGACCCCCTTTGCAAGCTGGATGCAAGCAAGATAGACATATATAGGGTATGTCTGTCTGTCTGTCAGACAAAGACAAAAGGAAAGAAAGAAAGAAAGACAGACAGACAGACAGACAGACAGACCACCCACCCACCCCAGCTCCTGCCTCCAGATGTTAAACTGTGGTGTGCTGCTGTCAGGAAAACTGCAGACATTAGTCTGACACTGTTTAGATTTTTATTAAAACACAACACATCAATCAAGTTCCCACTCTGTGTTTTTGAAGACTTTGGCCACAAGCCCTGATCGCACTTTAGAAAAGATGACTGTATACAGCCAGTAGAATAGGCTGCTGTGAGCCCTCCCTTCTCCAAAGCACTGGCATGTGGTCCGTCTCAGCTGAAAGTCAGACAATGCCAATTCCCCTCTGTTTTGCAAAAATAAGAGGTTTTACTGACCCCACACACACAAGGTGGGATGTAATAATAATGCAAATTATATATGATGTAAATACAAAATGAAATTATGTTAATTTGGGTCCAGGTAAAGTATCAAAGAATAATTTAACAGGGTTTAAAAGTATAGAGTTTTGTATGTATTTAAAGTATTTCTAATCTCCTTCTGACTTGCCAATGTTGATATTCCTCTCTCCTTAATCAAATCATGGATCACTGTAGTCCAAAGTAGACGTAGAAAAGGCTGAAAGAAATGTTCGTACTTATAAGTTAACAGCAGTTATTGTATTTTTAGTTCAATCCTATCAAAACCAACCATAATGTTAACGTGTTGCATTTTAAGACCAGTAACTTTGTTGATCAATATACAGTAGTTTGGCCTTCATGCATTTGTTTCAGATATACTTTAAATAGCACAACATATGTCAGTTAATTTCTCCACTGATTTATTGTGGTTGCATTTTATATTAGAATATACTTTGGAATAGTATATTAAAATATTTTTAGAAGAATTGGAGAAGAACCAAGGAAGACATCGAGGTAGAGTTATCGTTCTTTATTGTGATGGAGTAGAGATTGTAAGGAATACAATAAATATAGTGATTTTTACTTAAAATGGGTTTTCATGACACATAAATAACAATAAAATAAACGACCTGAATAGTGAGTAAGATTAACATTCTTACCTTGCAGCATAATTACCAGAATCAATAGCACTGATGTTTAAGAATAAGAGCGCTCCACCATGGTAATGTATCCTGTGTGTCTCTTCTGTGGTAATATTCTGTATCTCCGGCCCATCTTTGTACCAAGTAATATTTTCATCAGGCAGGTTAGGGTCCTCAATTTCAAAGTAAAATGATTCACCTTCAATGAGTTTAAAAAATTCCTTGTCATTGTGAATGCACGAAGAATCTGATGCTTTTGAAAATGAGGGAGAAAATTGTAATATATTAAAAACAGTGTTCAAAACATCTAGATAGAGTTAATAAAAATGTATCACAACACTAGCCTAGTAAACTAGCGGACAAAATCATTGTTGTCTGCGAGTGGTCTAGCCTCCATCAATGCCCCAAGCCCCAGCACTGGCGGGCCAATCACAATATGGAGATGTGTTTTGAATTTTTGGAATCAAAGCGGGCGGGGATTTGAGGGCATGATGACAAAGCTGCACGATGTTGGAGAAAGCACAACAAGGAAGATGGCAACAACTATTTAACAGTTCTTGTTTGACTCCGCTTTGGAATCAGTTTAGGAAGGATTAAACTTGGGGTTTTCGTTGAAACGTGAGAATGAAGAGGCTCTACGCTCATTCATTTTTAAGAAGGACGTATTCGCCGTTTTACCGACAGGCTGTTTGTTTACACTCCCCCAGCACCTTTCTGTCGCGCTTACTACGTCACAGTCAGTTGCACTCATTGTTCAGAGCGTTGGCCAATAGGAACAGACATGGTTTGAAAGTAGGGATGCACGATATTATCGGCCCCCTATCGGTATCGGCCTGTATCGGCCTTAAAACTGAATACCGGACATCGGCCACCCCACCGATATTTAACCCGATATTTGATCAGCTTCTGAGTTTCTAAAGTCTAAAAAAAAAAAAAAAAAAAAATACTACTTCTTCTTCCTCAAAAACTTCTTTTTTACAGACTTAAAAACTTCTAAAGATGAGGGAAAAAATATTGATACATTAAAATATCACAATATCTTCATATGCTGATATATTGCCATTTAAAAACACCATATCAATTTCTTTTACTAATGAAATATTGCTATATGTCATTGTTATGCTACGAAATCCCCCGAAAATTCACGAAATTTTGCCATATTTTTATATGTTGATATATTGACGCGGTATCGATCTATTTTACTGACAAAATCTCACAAGAATTTGCAAAATATCATGAGAGTTTGTAACAGAACGATGAAAGTAAAATAGATCGATACCACGTTTTTAAAAATCAATTTGATATCAGCATATGAAAATATATTTGAGTATATGGATGTCAGAAATGGCTAACAAAACTGCTATTTTCAATGACAACTTATTTTTGTCCAGCTTTAACATCGGTATGAGTATTGGTTATCGGCTACATGAGTTTTAAAATATCGGCATATCGGATATCGGCCAAAATCCAAATATCGTGCATCCCTATTTGAAAAACAACGGGTTGTTCTCATCAACAATTTTCCGATGTCTCATTCATCGGGGTCAGAGTAAATTACACATTAAATCTCAGATTTAGTCTGGTTTATCAGGCTATCACAACACTGCTTTCTAATTTCATGGATTGTCTTTTAAAAAGACAGTTTGTGACATTTTTCTTTTAAACGGTGCTATATATATACGTAATCCTTTACCTTTTTCCTTATTAGGAGCCAAATAAATTAGGTAAAACGATGATAAGCAGTTATAGGTCTAAACAGAGGGTAGTCAAAGGTATGAATATATTATTTCCAGAATGTTCTTTCTTTTTCAGTTGTAAAGGAAGTCTAATTCATCACACTTTGAGGTGTTTCCTTTAAATTTGCTCTCTGGTGTTTGTGTTGGCATCAGCCACTGAGACTCTCACCACAAATTATAAACGTTGTGGTCACATTACATCACTGTTCTTACATCAACCATCTAAAACTGGCCATATTTAAATGTCTTCAAAAATTCTGATGCAACCATTAACCCCCTTTTGCAATCAAACTTGCAAAAAAAATAACCCAACTTATAACTGTCATCTTTCACATTATTTCATTTTTGTTATACAGTATGTGCGCAAACTGTACCTGGTTTCGCCTGAGGTGCGGACATCAGCACAATGAGGGATAAGAGGAGCCAGGAGAGCTTCATTATCTAAATAAGAAAAAGTATATTGTAAATTAAGCAAACTTTTTTGTAGTCCTTTTTATTCTCGTCTGCTTTTCACACAAGCAGTTTAAATGTTCTAAAATTTCTTTTGTCTTTCAGGATCTTTTTCTAACAGAGCAGTGACACAGGAAAACCAGAGATCTGTTTCAGCAGAAGATTGTAATCTGGATAGTTACAAAATCCTTTTCCGGAAACAGTATCAGAAAAGCTTCACAAACCAAGGGGCTTGAAGAAAATCCTCTATGTTCTTTTTCTTTGCAGCAGTCAATAAAGTAAACCCAGAAATTATGCCGTAAAGAAGCTCAGCTACAATTTTTGGGGGTTACTACAGTGTTAATCCATTAATGGGCAGTACTGTGTCTATTCCTTTTTAAAATTTTGCTGGTGATTTCTTATATTCTTGCACTTTTAATCTTGTGGGATTTTATGTGAATGTCATTAAGATTTTTAAAAGTTATGAAAAACTTACTAAGTTCCCTGAGAAGTATGCAAAAAAACAGTAAATGTGCCAACAAGTGCTTTTCTTTTTATAACTAAATGGGCCAACAACCAACTATTAATGTAGTACAAATATAAAAAAAAAAAAACTTTTTTATGAATTAATGCTCTACTTTATAAAAAAGTGTCTTAGAAAATTTGTGAAATCATATTGGTTAATCTAGCAGACAGACAAGCTAACAAAATGTACAATAAAGGAATGGTTTTCGACATACAAGGTTTCCATCATAAAGCAAACACTTCCTGATCTACTATGAATGATGCATTACACACAGATCAATAAAATCTTCATTGCTCCAAAAAAGCAAATAAAAACATTCATATTTCTACTTTGGCAATTTTGGCTTCATTTCTGAGAATTTGCCCCAAAGTTACCACTGCTCAGGGGTCAAAGTAGATTTAAATTCACAGGATTTTGATATAAACAAATACAGAGAGAACTTACATAATTGCCTTGTAATGCCATGGCAATCCAGACCTAAATTGAATGAGTATTCTTACTAAAATATGTCAATATCATAATACAAAGAAATATTTACATCATATTTAAATAGATGGAAAAAGAGAACAATGAGAGAGAAATATTCAAAGATCTATGTAGCTTTTTATCGGGCTCTTTATCTTTAACTAAAATAAACAGAATTTAATGAAATATTTTATCTGGATATAATTTAGGGATTCCTTTTGGTAGAAATCAAAGAAAGTTTAGTATCATCTCTTGTGAGCTGGAAGAAGTATTATTTATTTTTTTAACAGTGTCCTGTCTGGCAATGTTGCAATAAGAATAATTGTCTTGATACCAAAAAGAGCAGTACGGCTATCGTCATAGTGTTCTGCTTGTTTTATGCATATAAATTGCTTTATTATAATTATGCAGGGAGTTGTGGGGCGACAGTGGCGTTGGATGTAGGAGTTTGCCCTGAAATCGAAGGGTTGACGGTTCAAGTGACTTTCAGTGTCGTTGTGTCCTTGGGCAAGACACCTGCATTGTCTACTGATGGTGGTCAGAGGGCCCGGTGGCGCCAGTGTACGGCAGCCCTGCTTCTGTCAGTGAGCCCAATGTAGCTTGCCACCATCAGTGTGTGAGTGTGCGCGTGAATGGGTGAATGAATGTAGTGTAAAGCGCTTTGGAACTCTATAACTACATGCCATTTAGATTATATGCACACTGCAATGGAAGAAGAACAAGAAAGGAAAAACTGAAATAAAGGAGAAAAGATGAAAGAAAGAGGAGATAAAAGGGAGATGATGATAAAAAATGTTCAGTGTGCTTCATCACCTGCAAAGAGATGTAAAAAGAACAGCACAACCAACGGACATGGTACTAGACATACAATAGTAGAACCTGCTGTAGCTCGAACCTAGATAATATCGCTAAAGTATAAGTAGTATTATTTAATCTGACATGTACTCTGTGTTAACTGAAGATAATAATATGGGCTTTCTGTATGGAAGTGAATCTCTGAGTACCTGGAACCAAGTTTGTGAAAGTGCACTTGTGCATGTAAAGTTTATCCAAAGACAAAATGCTCAATAGTGATTGCGGAGAGCCGAAGAGACGCCCCTCCAGAGTCCAGCGCCGGGAGACCCAAAGCCCTTGACGCCCAAAGGGACCCCAAGAGCGAAGGCACCAAGGAGGGGCCAGCCCAGGAAATCCGCACTTAGCAGAGACTTGAGATGTGCTTGGGAGAGGGAGCAGTTCAGACCCCAACCAGAAAAAAACAACAACAAAAAACACAGTCTCATCACGCCTTCTCACCCTAGTGCCCCCCACTCAGATGAGGCAAAAAACGCAGACGCACATTCACACATAACACTCACATCCAATAATACCAGGACCAAAGACCCAGCGGCACCGGTGGTTGGTCCCTGGATTATCGGATGACCCATTAAGTGAACCTAAAATCCGAATGGGGGGAGGGGAGCGATGACACTGCCACACAAACCCATCTCTTGTCCTGCTTCGGGCCTCGCGCCCCAACCCGCACCCGGACCAGACCCGCTCCCCCAGCAAAAGCCCCCCTGGGATTGGGGCCCACATGCCCCGCACAGGCCACTCAACCAGAGATCCCCCACCCCCACCCCAAATAATTTACCCAGCCACTTCCTCCCCTCATGTTGTTACAGGCCCCTCCCTCCATCCTCCTTTGGGGGGAGCAGAAGTGACAGCCCCAGCACCAGGCCACCCAGGCCCCACAGCAGCCCCCCGCCAAGACCAGGCGGCTCGCTCTTCCTCCAGGCCCCAGACTCCAGGTGGCGGCCGGAGAACAGGGGTGTGAGAAAACCCCAATCCTTCCTACGCCTGCTCGAATGTGCTCTCAGGTGTATAACTGGGAGTACCAAAAGGGGGTGTCTAGCACAGTCCACCTCCCTCTCCAGAAAACAGGCAGTGCCAGAGCACCCCGCCAATCGACAACCCAGTAGAGTGGAGCATGAAGCGCAGACTTGGAGCTGCGTGCACAAAGACATTTCTGCACAGATGGAAGATCAGAGCAGAATTTGTCAGCATTGAGAGTGCAGTACAGAACCATTCTGGGTTATTTTCTCAGACCCTGGCCGCTGCTGTGATCCTTCTGTGCTCCTGCAGATATATATATATATATATATATATATATATATATATATATATATATATATATATATATATATATATATATATATATATATATATATATATATATATATATGTATATATTAGTGCTGTCAATCGATAAAATTTTTTTAATCGTGATTAATCGCATCAATGCCTGAGTTAACTCGCGATTAATCGCATTTTAATCGCAAATTTTTTTTCTAATTGAAAATCATTTAAATACTCTCGATGACATACAAAAAATACATACAGGCTAGGTTTGTGCCAATGTTCTTTTTTTAAAATGAAAACAGGTCACAGACACTGATTTATGCCATAGAAACATATGGCAAGAAGATGGGGAGGCATGTAGCAAAAAATAACAAATATGTAGCGAAAAAAAAGGCCCTGAAAACAGGCTGATGTAAAAGACAGTCTTTACAGTTAATACAGTCTTTTGAACAAAGACAAGCATTTTACCCTACTGCTATAAAATGTAGTACAGTTAACATTAGATGTTAATTAACCAAGATAATAATGAACAATTTTCAATCAATACATCAAAATCAATAGACCGACATTACTAGATGGAGGTAGTCTATGCTCTAGAAAGTTACTTTTCAGCCTCTTAACAAAAATGAGAACACACACACACCCACCCACCCACACACAGACACACCCACCCACACACACACACACACACACGATACCGACCTGTGGCGTACACAAACAGCAAGAGTGCCGTAGCAGATTCCATTTCACCTCAGTATATATATATATATATATATATATATATATATATATATATATATATATATATATATATATATATATATATATATATATATATATATATATATATATATATATATATATATATTAGGGATGGGACGCTTTATGAAAACCGTCAGAACCGTTCGGTTCGACTCTCGGTTCGCGTGTGTTTCGTTCGGTTCATGCGCTGCTCCTTTTTCTCATAGGCGAAGCGATTACACTCCAGAGCACCAGGTGGCGGTACTGCTACCAAAGCCAACTACCAGTAGTAAACAAGAAGAAGAAGAAGCGAAGCAGCTTAGCCGGGTGTAGCAGGGAAAAAAATCAGTTGTTGTGGAGAATTGGAAAGAACAGGAGTTGGAAGAAGCGCCAGCAGCACTTTATAGGTCTGCTGTAGCGCTTTGCATTTAGAGTGACCTACGATGACGGCGGAAAGAAAGTTGTGGATAAAAGTGCAACAGTGTGTGAGCATTGTGCAACACGTTTTGTTTACGCTAACAGCAACATGACCAACATGTCATGCTAACCCCGAAATCCCACATACTCCATCAGCGCTCCGCCCCGCTGCTCTCCAGACCGGCTGCTCAAAGCAAAGCCTACAGCCTTCACTGTGGCTCCCGTCCGCTCCGCTCTGAGTTCCTTGGAGATGGTAGAGCGCATGCGCGAGATGATTAAATTCAAAGCAGCAAAACATACGGAAATGATCAAGGGTTTCCGTGGATCATTTAAAATAATTACAATCCATTATTTTTGGGGGGATTTTTTCATTCCATAAATTTTTATGGGATTTCGGTGTAACAATCAACGTGTATCGAACCGAACCGAAAACCGTGACCAGAAGCCGTGAATCGAACCGAACCGTGGATTTTGTGAACTGTTCCACCCCTAATATATATATATATATATATATATATATATATATATATATATGTATACGTATATATATATTAGGGCTGCAACTAACGATTATTTTAAAAATCGATGAATCGGCCCATTATTTTTTCGATTAATCGATGAATCGGACAAAAAATATTTTTTATATTAACCTCTTTATTCCAAAATAAACATTTTAGACAGAACAAACAAGCACACAAGTACAGGTTGCTCATTAACTGTACTGGTGCAATATGAAAAATAA